TAGCCCAGGATAAAATTGCTGCTTTTCCCTGGTTTTACTTTGCCTTCATACTTTCCCCCAGATGACCACAGATCTATGGGGCAAACCCTGGAAATGTAAATGCTGGGTCAAAGCTTAAGAACATTTTTTAGAATTTCTATTATGTACATCAATTTCCAGAAAATTTACATAATAATTTTAAAACTACTAATTTGAGAGGCAAAAAGGGCATCTCATTATTTTAATTTGCATTTCTTTGAATATTAGTGAGAGAACTTTTTTGGATGTGTTTATTAACCACTTTTACTGCTTGCTTTTTAAATGACCGGTTCATGTCCTTTATCCAAAAGGCCTATTTTAAAAATAATCACAGCACACTATAATTAAAGGACACAGTTTCTTGGAACAGATCATTTCCCTGTATATTGTAAAGAAAGGTACTACACAAAGGTATTGACATTGTCAGGTAGTGAATGTAACTTGGAGAATAATAAGTACAAGTAAAGTTCTTCTTTCTACTTTTTTAAAGCACTAGGCTTTTATTTCTGTTCTAAGAAGGGAGTGATGGAATATAGGTGAGTGTTTTCCAAATGTATGTGCTATTTGTGCTCATGCCTTTTTATTCCAATTCTAAGCACTGAGAATTAGTTTGTTATACATACATAACAATAATCTCTCCTTTTGGAGTTATCAGCTAAATGTTTCATTATTTTATGGGACTATAAAACTTTGTAGTTTTAACTAACAGCTCATCTATCTAATAGAAAATTCTCAAGAGAAAAATGTATGTGTTTTTAAAAAAACTACCATTCAGCAGCAGCACTAAATCAACAGTCTTTTTTACACTAAATTGTTATTAAGGGAACCATCCCTTGAGAGAGAGGTAATACAATCGTAACATGTTTTGGGTTTACCCATCCTGCATACCCAGATTAGACTGAAAAACAGTTTTCATTATATTTCTCCCCAAATCTCCAGAACCTCTAGTTAACACTTCTCAAACTTTTTGCATGCTATCTCATACCCTACTCTTACTGGTTTTCCTGACACAAATACTCAAGCTTCCTCAAGTCCACTGGCCTAGCCTCTTTTTAACATAAGATGTCCACCCTGTCTCATTCCACCAGTCCAAACCCTTAAGGGCCTGGTCAATTCTCACCTTCCCTGAGAAACCTGTTCTAACCTGTCCAGCCTACACTTGTACCACTGAAGCCCGTTTTCTTGCTAGGATTAGGTTAGTTTCACTGACAATAATCTCCCTTTTGAATAACTCAAAGTCAACTTATTAGGGCAAGTCACTAAGAGGAGGGTATTCATTGTACAAGGGCGCGGGTCCCTGGGAGTCATCTTAGAATTCTACCTGCCACAAATAACTACCATAAAAGGCTTCCATTGCTACACTGAATTTTCAGATGTGACAGCATTTTGTGATTTATTCAAAATTTAATTTGAATAAGTGATTTATTCAAAATTTAAGTGCAGAATAGTTATTTTATATTATAAAAATTCTAAAACTTAATGAAAAAATTATATCTATTACTATCAATTATGACGAGATGCCAATTTTTAATAAATGGGAAATAAAAAAATGGGAAATAATAAACACCTGGAGATGTGTTTTATCCAGCAACCTACTGGAGATACCTGCAAGGTTCGAAGATTAGATTTTTTTTAACTGATTCTAATACATTTAGGGGAAAAAGGGAAGGAAAGAGAATTCAGGCACTGAAATAGGTTCTTTGCATATACTTTATTAATAATTCTCACAATAACCTATCGAGATAGACATTATTAACTGTACTTTTCCAGATAGGGAGGTAAATAAATTCTGAGGGGCTCAATAAATTTCCCCAAGTCAGAGTTGGTAAGTGGTGGCTCAACAAATACAGGTTTTAAAATAAATAATTTATGTGAAAGGAAAGTGAGATGAATAGATTGTGAGATTTACTGCAAAGAGTGCAGGACTCTGTGTCTGAAGATTTGGGTTTACTAACCAAGAGAACTTGGATTAGTCCGTCAACTTTTTAAACTTTCATTTGCTTTAGTTGTGCAGGGGTTCAAGAGGAAAAAAAGCATTATTTTTCTCACCAATGTGCAGAACCAATAAAGTCGTATACATAATGGCTTAGCAGACTAGAATGTCACCTTTATTACTGATGAAGCCAATACTGGAGAGGGTGGCTTAGGTCTACCAGCCAATAGTCCCTACCTATTAAGTGTAGGTTTCCAGGCAAATCCACACAAGCAGCAGCTAGTGCTCTACAACAGACACACTCGATAGTACCTGGATGAAGAAATCAGAACGAGACCTACATTTGTGGGCTTTTATTAGATGAGGTTCCAACCACTTGAGAAACATGGCTAATGGCTGCACCTAACAACCAGGTAACTCACTCCATTTCCAAGGAGAACGGTAAGATCAGGGCAAGAGGCAGGGGAATTTAGAAGTCTTCATTCAAGTAGAAGGGAGAATGATACTTTAGGTAGCAAGACAAAACAATGTATAATATATAGAGAATGCACTGATCTTATTTCCAATAAAACATACTTTTCTCCCTCAATGGTGAGGATAAAATTCCTGACATACCTAACTCATAGACAGGGTTTTTATAACATCCAAGACAAGAGGAAAAAAGGCATTACTAAATTATAAATATTCTTATTAATGTCTGCCACTGTCATAATTCACATACAAGCATCTTGTAAATTTAAAACTGACATCCTTTCACTTTGGACTGCTTCCTCTGCTATGTAGCTTTCCTGAGCTACAATGACAGTTTACGTAAACTGTCATATTGAATGGAAACTTGCTAAGAAAAGTTGACATATTAAATGGGAACTAGCTAAGGAAAATAACACTTACTAAGAAGCTACTCAGTGCCAAGGAAATTTGGTACATGCTGTTCACTGAATCCTCACGCTGTCCTTTAATTAGGTTATTAGAGAATTCCTTGGCTCATAGAGGTCATGTACCTCGCCCATGTTCATAGGGCTAGTGAGGATGAAATCAGAAAATGCCAATGGCACTGGAAAACTGGTTTGGGATGATTCTGTGCCTTTGAATTTTTCTGATGCTAGAGACTTGTGGATCAGGAATGCTCTGTGCAGCACACACTTACCAAGGGTCTCTTCATATGAAATTTAACATCCACATTTTTATTTTTTATTACTGCAGTTGACTACCTGCAGAAAAACACAGGCTGAAATGATTACTAAATATTTCACTTACTCCAGGAAGTCTTCCTTTGTGAATCATTGGAGAAGCAACTATAAAACTCTGACCCCGAATTGTGTCAATGTACATTTACCCTGATGCTTCCTTTGTGCCTTACAATGTGCAACAGCATTTCAACAAAGTCTCCCGTATTCCCATGAACACTCCCAGAAATCAGCTGATGCCTGAATAAAATTTTTGCGTGGCTAGCCTGGTGTTGAACATGGTTATTTGTTAGACACCAAGTGATAATGGTGGTACGAACCTCAGAGTCACGCTTTGCAGAGTCACAGGTGCATGTCTCCCTCTCCCCTACTGTCCCAGTCTGTTCAGCCTGCTATAACGAAAATGCCACGGACTGGGTGAATTCAACTACAAAAATTTATTTCTCAGTCTGAAGGCTGGGAAGCCCAAAATCAAGTTGCTGGCAGATTCGATATCTGGTGAGTGCCCACTTCCTGGTTCATAGACAGCTTCCTCGCTGTGTTCTCAAATGGCCACAAAGGGCGAAACAGCTCTCTGAGGTCCCTTTTATCAGGGCACTAAACTCATTCATCAGGACTCCACCATCATGACCTAATTACCTCCCAAAAGCCCTAATACTATCATATGGGAGACTAAGATTTCAACCTATACATTTTGAGGGGACTGCTGAAAGCAATCACCTATCAATCCTGCCTTAGATCCCTGAAAGAGGCATTTTTCATTATTACAGAAGGAGTGGGAGTGGGAGCCCATAACAGGGGCAGATGGAAGAGGGACTGAAGAACTGCAGAGAATAGAGCCCATATTTAAGAAGATGATCAAGGCATGTACTTAATATTACGAGATCAAGAAATAAAATGATGTGTCATTGGGTGGAAGCTACATTTTAATAGATGGTTCAGGGAAATGTTTTCTTTTTTCTTACTCTTATTACTTAATTGCTTGTGTGGGATGGGGAACAAGTCCAAAAATAATAGTCAAAACCTTGCAGGTATTCTTAAAAATGGATTTGCATATTGTAAATGAACTTCTGCTGACCAATTCATGTGGTAACATGAAATATTAGCTTCACAAAAGAACAAGTCTTACAAAAATACTTAATCTTCAATCAAGCAAAGCCTATCTTATGAAAACCCCATATTTGCCAGCCCAGATTTTATTTATATGTATAAACACACATTACAATCTAACACATTACAATCTAACAGTAGGTGTTTTAATTTAAAAAAGAACTATTCTAAAACATGGATAATAAAATTCCTTCTCAAGCTTACCTGGTTGGCTTTCTTTGTAACACTTTTTAAAGTGCTGGTTTACATTTTAAAACCTAAGATTTCAAATGAACTGCTTAACGCCATATTATCTTGGCAAAAATGCAATCATTACTAAAAGAAAAACTCAAAAACATCATAAGGCTAAAAATTAATGGTATGGTAAATTGGCACATTGCTATAATGTATGAAACGGCAGTGAAGCATTCATTAATTCCTTTTAGAATTATTGTGCCTATATATTGCATTAGACTCTGACAGGGCATAAAGAGCAGGCCATGCCCAGGTTACCTGATGTGCATTTATTACGTGTATGTGAGGAAGAAAAGAAACCCTGGAATCCATTTGGACCTTATGAAGAGCCAGAAAAGGTTTCCCTATTCCTGAGAGAATAGTAACCCAGGCAACCCAAAGAGTGCTGGAGCCGCCGGCATCTGGTCACCCCTCCGAAGCCAGCTCTCCCTTGCTCCCTGCTCCATCTACTGAGGCCACCATAGTAGTGATGCAGCTTCCCTTCCAGTTCCTCCCTTTACTGCTTATACACACAGTACCTGTTTCTACTGCCTTCTCTGGAAATCAAAATGACCAAGAAAGAGAATTTCATCGGATCCATAGGTACCATCCAATGTGGAGACTTTCTGTGGAACAGAGTCCTCGAACCAGATCTCCTCATAGGCTGGGGGCTCTGGTACATCTAACCTACGCAGAAAGTTGCTTTAGGAATAAGAAAAGGGTGGATTAATCAGCAATGGTCATGATAATCAACACACATGACAAAAATCATGGGGCTTATACAGAAGAAAGTGCTTGTGGATCTTAATTCTAAAGGGAAAACAGCCATGGCAAGTCCCTAGAGTTCCATGGCCTTGTGGCTAGCTCACCAGTATGAACACATGTTATGGAGAGGAAAAAATGAGTACAGAAAGGTCCCTGCCTTCATAGAGCAGCTAGTTTCAAATTATTAACAATGTGCTTTAGCTGGGATGATATTAATATTTAGGTGTCTTCACAAGAGTTTTGCATTATCTTCTACCTTAGCTTATAGAACTTCCCTCCCTGAGCCAAACAGCATGTTTCATGAGAAACACTTGAAATTAGATACTCAAGTTAAAATTTCTTCTTGAAGTTCATAGGAGGGATGCACTACTTTACAAGGATACTGCATTAAGTTACATCTTTTTTTGTTTGTTTTTTTTTTGAGACAGGGTCTTGCTCTGTCACCTGAGCTACAGTGCAATGACGTCATCATAGCTCACTGCAACCTCAAACTCCTGGGCACGAGCCATCTTCCTGCCTCAGCCTCCTCAGTAACTAGGACTATAGAATCGTGCCACTATGCGTGGCTACTTCTTCTATTTTTTTGTAGAGATGAATCTCACTCTTGCTCAAGCTGGTCTCAAACTGCTGGCCTCAAGCAATCCTCCTACCTCAGCCTCCCAAAGTGCTAGGATTATAGGCGTGAGCCACTATGCGTGGCTACTTCTTCTATTTTTTTGTAGAGATGAATCTCACTCTTGCTCAAGCTGGTCTCAAACTGCTGGCCTCAAGCAATCCTCCTACCTCAGCCTCCCAAAGTGCTAGGATTATAGGCGTGAACCAGCATGTTCAACTGCCAAGTTTACATCTTTAAAAAAAAAAAATTCAAAGATTTTTGTAACCAACATGATTCTCTAAATTTAAAAAAGTAAAAACAAGTCTCATTTCTATATTCACTTAATGACATTCTTTAAATCAACAAACTTGTCATGTTGCTAATAAACAATCTCTGAGAATAACATTTGCCTCTATCAATAAACCAAACCTTTATCAGTCTTTATATCACATCTTATGATTGTTTTATAATTATTACCATCACTAACCTGCAAGTTTCTTGAGGCTAGGAGTAGCATCTTTCAACTCTGCAGCACCAGTACCTAGCCAAGACTACATGTTTAACACGTTTGTTGATTGAATGAGTGAAGGTACCGCTTGGATTTAGTTGCTTTTAAAAATAAATGCCTTTTCAATTCTAAAGCATAATCAATATGCATTTAGGCCATTAGACTTCACAAGTGTGATAAACCAAAGACGACCCTCATAGAAGCAATCAGTGAGTGGTAGAAGGAAGATTACAACTAGTGAGGAGAGTTAGTATTAATATAAGGTAGCAGTGAATGTGGTGTATGCCTTCTATAATAGAAAGTTTTATAATATAAAAACCAAGTAAAACAGAAATTAAAGGCATGTTAAAAATAGGGGCTACTGTTTGGAGAAAGATCCAGAAGACAGGACAGTAAGGGATGAAGAGCAAAAGAGGAGAGAAGAGTTAATCTTGGAGAGGAAAAGGAACTCTTTCTCCTTGGGGATAGGATTAACAGTACTATGGATGATTTGAAAAATAAGTTCATCTAGTTCACACAATAGATTAAAAATGTTATAGACTATGTGAATAGACTATCTGTACCCTAACACTGGGTAATCTGAGGAGGCATGAAATTCCACCTAAAAATTATATTTGTTGCTGCCCTGAAAATATATAAGAAAGTTCCTCATTCATACATATTTTTTCTGGAACAACAGTAGGACTGTTAATTCTTAGTCTGCAAATTTTAAAATCATTGGATATTGTACTAAATACAATTATCAGAATTAAAACCTGTAAATCTCATCTATAAGATGATTTAAGCATGAACATTTTAAAACCATCAGCTTATTCATATTGCTACATGAATTAATATATTCTTGATCAGAGGCAGTTTCTGTTATACACAATTTAGGTTTTCTATGGTTAATTAAACTTGGGTGGAAGCAAAACAAAAACAAAAAGCATGTTAGCACCATTCAGCTATGTTAATAATTATTTATTATGTTAATAATTTTCTCAGTGAATTTGCATACCCCTGTGCACACACACAGAGCAATTAGGGAAAATGCTGCAAAATCAAAAACACAATTGAGAACAAAATTAACATGAAGCAAAATAGCCCCGATTGATTTATTCCAGAAGAAACTTCTATTCACTAAGTGGTCCTTACTGCCAGTATAGAGCAGGAAAGTGTTGCTAAAAAAGTATTGTGAATAGCACATACCACGTCAATGAGAAGTGGCAGACAAAACTCCCAGTCTTAAGGAAGGCAGACAGAATGTGTCTGATAGCAGCTTCTAGGCCTGGATTAACCTTTAAGGCAGTGAGCATCCCTCTTCCATCATAACCAGAGAGCTTGTATGTCTGAGAGGTCTCAGCCTGCTTCTTCAATGTCACCTACAACTGCGTTCACTTCCAACAGAAAGAAGAAAAGAGCAATTCTCTGAGATCTGAGTAATACTTGTAATTTCTACCTAAGGCATTTAGTAATGTGCACAGAAAAGATAAAACAGGGCCCCTAAACAGTAGTGGTGTGATCAGACAGAACAGACATTACTAGAGGAATCACTTACAGAACACCAGGATGGGTCTTCTTTCAGCAGTCTGAGCCAGCCTCACCTACGAAGTCACTCTTGAATGAAACCATGCTTAAAAGACATGACTTAAGGGGGTTAAACTATCAGATTCTGTGGGACTAGAGCTGTCAGATGGGTTTCTCCCAGATGACGTGGCATGTTAGCAGCAGAAATGCCTATGAAATTCTATGGAAAAATCTATAAAGGTACCTACCAAGCTCTGCTGCCTATAAGCTAGCTGCTTAAGGGACTTAATTATAACTAGACATTCTTGAACAACCCTGAAGTTCTGCTGCACTTTCAAGACAAAGAGAGGCAAAGAGAGTAGCAACTCCAGGGTTATTTGCTCCCATAAGGGGGCTATTAAGATAATTATGTATATCCATGTCCATAGTTATAACTATGTGATAGGATCTCAAGGCATATTTTTGCATATTGAGCTAATTAATTTTTTTCTTCCCACTTATGTTATTGTCTGTTCTGATTTGTTGCAGAAAACAAGAGAAAAAACTCATTTTTAAAATAGTCGTGAATAAAGAAATATTAATGCCTTTTTTTTTCAACAGAGAAAACATTACATCAAATAGTTGATACAATTTTTAAACACAATCTTTATAAAATTTCATCTGATATGGGTTTCAACTTCTGGCCAGGGACCAGATTTACCCTCCTTCCTAAAACAACTAAGAAAACCAGGCAAAGTATATAAAACTACAGTTTTTAAGACAGTGGATATCATCCAGTAAAGGACAATAATCCTTGGGAAATGGAAAACAAACAAGGTAAGTCCTATCTATCCCAAATTATACCTGGAAAGTTTCTAGGCTGAGGTACAGAGAGGAATAACTGAGGGGGACCCTGTTCTACTCTCTGGGTTAAGGACACGGAGTTAACAGTCCAGGGAGAACAAGGCAGCTCAAGTTCATAGGAGAGAATAGCCGAGGGGTGAGAGCTGCACAGAGAGAAACTCCCAGAGAGCTGTTGAAGATCCCACTCAGGTACCCAGCAGAGAAGTGATCATATCCATGAGAAAACTACCTGAGGCTAGGGAAGGAGCCATCGGAAACGGCAGTACATTCTCTTTTCGCCTATCTTCTTCTAAACTTAGAACAGTTGGTTCTTTGAATTGGGAAAGAGGGAAATATTTTGACAGTAAATATAAAGAGCAAAAAGGATCCTCTCACTTAATTTCATTAAAATCAAAGTCTTGCCTTTCCACACTACCCAGAGAGGGGCCCATACAGTGCTGTTCTGGATTCACGCCATAACTTAAAAGGAAACTTTCACAATGTCCGGAGCCCCTGATGCCCTGCAAATGAAGGAGGAGGATGTCCTTAAATTCCTTGCAGCAGGAATCCACTTAGGTGGCACCAACCTTGACTTCCAAATGGAACGGCACATCCACAAAAGGAAAAGTGACAGCATCTACATCATAAATCTGAAGAGGACCTGGGAGAAGCTTCTGTTGGCAGCTCATGCCATTGTTGCCACTGAAAACCCTGCTGATGCTAGTGTCATATCCTCCAGGAACACTGGCCAGCGAGCTGTGCTGAAGTTTGCTGCTGCCGCTGGAGCCACTCCTACTGCTGGCCGCTTCACTCGCAGAACCTTCACTAACCAGATCCAGGCAGCATTCGGGAGTCAGGTCTTCTGGGGGTGACTTATCCCAGGGCTGACCACCAGCCTCTCACAGAGGCATCTTATGTTGACCTGTCCACCATCGCTCTGTGTGACACAGATTCTCCTCTGTGTTACGTGGACATCCCATGTAATAACAAGGGAGCTCACTCAGCGGGTCTCATGTGGTGGATGCTGGCCCAGAAGTTCTCCGCATGCGTGGCACCATCTCCCGTGAACACCCGTGGGAGGTCACGCCTGACCTCTGCTTCTACAGCGATCCTGAAGAGATTGAAAAGGAAGAGCAGGCTGCTGCTGAGAAAGCTGTGACCAAAGAGGAATTTCAGGCCGAATGGACTGCTGCAGCGCCTGAGTGCACTGCTACCCAGCTGAGGCTGCAGACTGGTCTGAAGGCCTGCAGGTGCCTCTGTACCTATTCAGCACGTCCCCACTGGTCTGCAATTCCTACTGCTCAGGCCACTGAATAGGCAGGAACAACCACTGAGTGGTCTTAAGTTCTTCCACAAATTCTTAAATAAAATGAAAGTAACATTGACGGAAAATAAAAATGAGTTGTTTTGTTTTTTCCAAAAAAAAAACAAAGTCTTTAAGGTGGGGCTATTCATATATATATATATATATATATATAATTTTTACAAACAGCCTTGAATCTATCATTTCAATGGTGGATATATGAAGCAAATTTGTAAATGTACATAGATATATAAGGCAAATATATAAAGCATTTAACGTTTATTTGCTTTCAAAGAAGCTTTTAGTCCTACTTTCTTTTTCTTTTTTTAGACAGAGTCTCACTCTGTTGCCCGGGCTAGAGTGCCATGGCGTCAGCCTAGCTCACAGCAACCTCAAACTCCTGGGCTCAAGCTATTCTCTTGCCTCAGCCTCCTGAGTAGCTGGGACTATAGGCACACATCACCATGCCCTGCTAATTTTTTATATTTTTAGTAGAGACAGGGTCTCACTTTTGCTCAGGCTGGTCTCGAACTCCTGAGCTCAAGCGATCCTCATGCCTTGGCCTCCCGGAGTGCTAGGATTACCGGCATGAGCCACCACACCCCACCTTTACTGCTACTTGCATTTGGAAAAAAAA